CATGCAGCCCCTCCAGAGGACAGCTGGGTGGGTTGGGGACCCGGAGCGGTGACAGGGGCGTCCTGGCCAGCACACGCCAGGGCCAGCACAGCTGCCAGCCACCAGCGCCCTGAGTGTGCCCCTGGGTTTGTTTTCCACACCACAACCTGCCAAAATTTGTAGCATAGCCACATCTCGGCCACTGTGCCCAAGCACCATTGGCATCGTTAAGTGCTTAGCGCAGGAACCTAATGAGCCTCTTGCAGAGGGCGGGCGCAGGCAGGAGGTGTGGCACGGCGTCAGGGGAACCTGTAAATCATGTCTGGAAGAAACACATCTTGTGACACCCCAGCTGACTTCGGTCGCCCACGGGAAGCACAGCGACGGCCATCTCCAACCGAGCAGCACCGCACATCCCCCTGGTGGGACCCGCCAGGCTCCACACCCCCCTGAGCCTGTTTTGCCCCCGGCTGGGGCTTCAGCCCCCCTGCCACCACCGCACCACGGGACATGGCTGCCCGGAGAGTGGCCATCATCGGTGCTGGTGCCTCTGGCTTGTGCGCCCTGAAATGCTGCCTGGATGAGGGGCTGGTGCCCACCTGTTTTGAGCGGAGCGGGGACATCGGGGGGCTCTGGCGCTTTGAGGTAAGCCCCATGTGGAGCCAGCCTGCCCCACAGCAGCAGCACAGGCGGGATTGGGATGGGTTATTGGCAGCTGATGAAGCACCACTCCCCTGCTTTGCATGCCTGCGGCAGGCAGGCTTCCAAGGAAAACTACAGGAAAGAAAAGCTGCTGGGGCAGCGGAAGGTCCCCGTGGTGCCAGCAGCTGTGTCAGCCACATGGGACCTGTCTCCTTCCCACCAGCAGCAGGACAGACCCTCCCCAAGGACTTTACCCCAGGGCTTGCTGCCCCAGCCCAGCCATCCCCCTTCCCATCGCTTCCTTCTCGGTCTCATCCATCCCCTCCCCTGCTGCTTTGCTCCTCATCCCCCCAAGCCCTTTCCTACCCATCCTGGTCCCATTTGACCCCGCGGGCTGTCCCGGTCCCCATCCTGCCCAGACCTTCTCTGGAAGTCCCAGTTGCTCCTCTCTTTGCTTCTGTGCTGCTCACCCA